CCTACACACTTCCAGGGAGGCTATTTGTGGCAGGCCAATAATATCAGTTATACTTGAGATCACAATAATGAAATCATTACTAATGAGTGAGTATTATCTGCATTAATCTGGTCTGAAAAGTACCAACACTACTATTATTACTAATGTGAAACTCCCATCTGAGAGAATAAAAAAATCTTCACTGTTAATTAAGCCTTCTAATATGCTTGTGAAGCACTAAAGAAAGTACAACAATTTACTGAAAGATAAGCAGGAACAAGAGAAGTTATGTCACTTAAGATTTGGTAGTGTGAATTTAATTAAATGAAATCAGGTTGAACTGATTTCAGATAAAATCAGGTTAATTCATCATTTATTTTTAAAAGTAATGTAGATAATCATCTCCTTAAATATAATCTTATTGAATGTACCTAGTTACTGTAATCATGTACCTAAGCTGAACTTTTCACATCACAAAACCTGTCAGAGTACAAGTTGCATTTAAAATGAGGCACTAATGACATCAACATAGCCTTAAATAATGTTTAATGACAGAATAAAAATGTCTGTCAAGTTAATGTTAGTTGCAAAAAAAAAAAAGATTAGGAGAATCAAAAGCAGCAATATATATATATACACACACACACACACACCTGTTCACATAGCCTGGGAACTTTATGTCTTTATCTAAATCAAATCTGGACTTTTCATCCAGTCAACAAACGTATACAGATCAATGACCTTCTGGTTAAAATATCAAGATGCCATGCCCTCTCTCAAACACTATACAGTATTCCTAAGTGATTCTAAAACTGCAGTAGTGAGTACTTTTCCATCTCTTCTACTCTACCTAAAAGTGTTTTCAGCAGGTGAAAAGAATGTCATTGCATTATTGACCAGAAAAAACAAAAGCATCAGTGAATCAATGCTAGCTTAAATTGACCTCTGATTACCTGTGAAGTCTAAAATAGTTACCTCTCTGAAGCAATAAACTAAAATGCACAAAACAGAAAAGGTGAATTCTTAGCTGTCCTTTGAACATATTTTAAATTATCATCCTCACCACCAGTTTTCTCTCCTTCACATAAAAAAAGCCTTTCCATCCTTTTTAAGAGCATTATATGCATCTTTGAAACATTTTTCTTGGTAAAAGCTCTGGAATTTTTTATCTGGGAAATTTTCATCTGTCACATATAATATCAAGAAAGGCATCTTCCAAATCATGTGTGTGAGAAAGGTAGTGTTGGGGTGATGCTGTAGCCATGATGATCCAGGAAAAATGTGATAGGCAAGGATTTTTGTGGGTGTTATCTTTTATTGAAACCAGTGTATAGTTGTTAGGGTCAGAGACAAGCTTTTGGTACCACAGTTCCCTTCCTAGGTACCTGAAAGCTTGCCTGTGTCCCTCTCAATTATGCAGTTGGTCAAATAAAAGCAGATATCATCCATATCTATAGAAATCCTTGCCTTTAAGTGAAAGTCACTTGTAGGCCTGGAACAGTACTGAAAACTCTTGGAAACAGACATTTAAAGACTGTAGCACACTATGGGAGGGAAAACATTGGGACATTCTTATTCCCCAAAATGGAAGAGAAATCTAATGGATGCAAAAGGATGTTCTACCCTGACACTTCCATTTTAGGAGTAAAAATTAGTTTATTAGCAAGTCTGTTTGCCAACCATGTTGTCCAACAACCTTAAAATGAAATATTCTGACATGCTCCTGGAAAAATGTATCTTACTAAGACTACAAATTCCTGACCAGAGTTTAACAAATACAACCTTTCAGCTTTCCTCAAATTTTAATCCACATGTGCATAACTGTCCCTTTCTGTTGCTAATACCAGTCTCATTTCAGGTAATACTTATCAATCATATATAGATATCTTACAAACCTAATATGCATACCTATGCACAAACTTTAAAGAAAAAACCCACAGCATGAGGGAAATCAGCCCACTAATCTGAACCTGATGATTCTTCCAGTATTTGCCATTCCAGGAAAATGTAGCTTGGTTTTCAGGGATCACCAGGCTCCAAAAATCTTAAAGTACAGCCAATAATGTCCCAGCTCTATTAGTGGTAGGCACATACACTTGAGATTGGCAAAAACCAGCTAAATTGTTTCCCCCCATCGAAGCCACTTACAGTAATCACTGTTGTGGCTTTTGTCAATTAAAAGCCAAAATGGTTTTATGGCCTATCCAAGACTTTCTACATAAACAATCAGAATGCAAGCTAAAAGTTATGAGAAAAACGGGAATAACCAGCAAGAGTTATTGTACTTACTGTTCAATGCGTGGGGACAGATACAGCTTGGGAAAAACCTGAGTTGCTTCTGCATCCTCAAAACTGACCGAAAGAAGTGCAACATCCTCTCCTGGGTCTTCATTCACATCCTGTATAAAAAAGAAACGGCAGGTAGGAAGAGATTGAAAGTATTTATATTATAAGCTTACTAGGTGATGGGTAAAATATAGTCAAATGCCCAGTATAGTTAAAAGGGTAACAAAAAGGTAGGGGAGGCCCAAACAGGACCATTTAAAAAATCAATTTGCAAAACTCATATAATTATTTTATTAATATCCTGAAAACATTCTTCAGTGTTTTTTTTTCCACAGTTGCAAAATAAAATCAATTATAGCAGCTCAGCACTTATGAGCAAATGTATGATAACATGTCTCTTTTCCCATGTGATGGGGCAGAAACATGTCAATAAAGCAGCAGGTTTCATTTTTAAGAATCTAAGAATTATTATGAAGACAGACAGCAGATGGGCACTATCAGCAGGTGCTGGCATATATGACATCGGTGGATTTGCAAGTGAATTAATCTAATACTATCTACCTGATTCCTGACATTCTTCTTTCACACTACAGGTGACAGCAACCCTCTTTTCCTTTGGAAAGGTCTTGATTTCCCATTAATCAATCTTCTTTTCTTGTGTTGTTTCTCTGCTACCCCTGGGAATCTCTCTCTCCACCTATTTCACAGCCCTACATACTGTTTTTAATCATCGCTGTGTCTGCTTCTTCTCTCAGCTCTGATGAATAATGCCTTGCATTTGGAAACTTGTTTAACATTAACCCAGCTGTGGATTGGGTCCAATAAAAGATATCACTAGGGATCCTGGTTTTCTCTGTTTAAAAATCCCAAATTCTCTTATTTAAACCCCCCCAAATCTGTGTTTTCCACTATTAAAATGAAACGCCACTATATATAAAGTTATCAGTTGAACACAATAATTTAATACATTTACAAATTTAAAAGCAAATGTGGAAGTCTACCACTGCCTCAATCACTACAACAAAATAAATTCTAAAAACCTACGTATTTTCGCATTTGATTTTGTTTTTTTTTATCATGGAAAATCAGAGCTTCCCCAGCCCCAGGACACAGGTCCAGCTGCGGCTGTCCCCCCACACTGCTCTGTGATGCTGAACAGCCCTGATATGCTGGTGCCCTGCCCCTGCCTATGCTTCTGTCCTTCACTCCCAAGCCACAGCCCCACCAGCCTCGCCACTCCCCCACACTCCCAAACCTCAGCCCTCTAAACCCTGTTGGTGCCCCTCACTCCTGCCCCCCTGCCCTGCCAATGCCCCTCACTCCCGGAGGTGCCCCTCACTCCCAACCCACTGCCCCCGTAGTGTGTGAGGAAGTGAGTGGGTGTGAGGTGAAGGGGGTGTATGGGCACAGATGATGCATGGAGGGGTGGACAGGCACAGGCAGTGTGGTGGAGGACATGTACCCCCCCCCCCCCCCCCCGCCCCACTCCAAGATTTCTGAGCCCACAGCAGGGGACAGAGCTGCAGGTGGGCCAGACCAGCTCTGGGCAGGAGCCACCTCTGCAGCCCAACAGGTAGGACCCAGCATGGGAGGGAACACCATGCCACCTTGGCCACCAAGGTGAGGCATGGCAGTGGCACAGAGTTGTGCCCCCGCTGCTGCTGGGCAGCAAGGCGGCACCTCAGTTTGGTGGCCATGGCAGTGCAGTGCTCCCTCCTGCCTGCTGGGCCACAGAGGTGGCTCCTGCCCTGAGCTTGTCCAGATTGGCTTCAGTCCCACACCTTGTGGTAGGCACAAAAATCTCAGGAGGTATGTGTCCCCCCGCCACATGGCCTTGGCCCCCCCTGCTCCCCCCATGCCACATTGACAATGTGTCACCTGTGCCCTCCTTCCCCTCCCCCATAGACTTACCTGGAGGGAGCTGCGGAAGATGCAATGAGAAACCTGTGGTTTCCCCCATCTTTCTCCATTAAAGGAGAAAATCCACATTTTCCACAGCAAATGGAAAACCCAGATCCCTGGATGGCACCCAAAAAAAAGCCTTGCCTCTTGCATAATTCTTGGACTGTCACAGCTATAGCATCACTCTAACAGGAAGTACAGTATTAACAAGCTCTTGTCCTTATTAACTTGCCATTTTCACAAATCAAAAGAATAAATACAACTGATTAAGCAGTAGTTGCTAAGAATGTAAAAGAGCTCATTTAACCTAACAAGCATTTGTCATATGCTGAAAAGTGTTGATTATATATTTAAAATTTCTACATACAGTTTATCTCCAAGAAAACAAGCTTTTCTATGTTTTAAGCTTTTTGCAAACACCTTGCTCATATTAGCACTGAGCAAACATGCCTTTTTGTTGGCTGCAGTGCAGCTAGGTCAAAATTCAATATTTTTAATTTAGCACACAAGTGTCACTAATGCTCAAAAAGATCTAGAGATAGCCTTCAAACACATTGTCATTGTCATGCTGTAGTACACAGAGAGTTTCTAAAATATAACTTCCTAGTTCTCCCTTTTTTCATTTAAGGGCTCAGTGATCAAATGGATTTCAAACAGAAAACTGTGGGGGGAAAAAAATCTTCCACTAGGCAGGACTTAAGTTAACACCCAACGTGATATAAAATGTTGGCTTGTATCAACAAGTCAACAATGCAGCTATCAAATCAGTAAAACATTAAAGCACCAGCTATTGCTCATGAACTAAAATAATACAGAATTATTATGACCACCAATGGAAGCATCTAAATAGGGACTTTTGTGACAGGAGAAAAAAATTAAGCGTATGTTTTTATATGAACACAGTGTCTGCCATTTTAACTGGCAGCAAGCTGGCTTGCAAAACCCAGACGTAGTATTTTCTTCTCTACAAAAATAAAGTACAACAGTAACAAGTCAATAGTGCAGCTACAACTGCTGACATGTTACCACATTGGGTGTTAACCTAAGTCCAGCCTAATGGAAATCTGTATACAAGGAAACTAACATTTGTCTATTGCCATCATATTTCAGATTGATTTATATTTCTGGTACTGCATACTTGAAAAAAAATATCAGTTATGGACAATGTTTTAACCAATTCAGTCTTTGAGAAAGATTTAGAAATCCCTCTAACGTAGACCCAAATTGAACTATTTTAGCTGCTCAGCCAGGCCAACACCACAATACCATCGAAGACTTACAGAACATAGCTGCAATAAAGTGACTTTTATATAGATTGGACTCAATGGCATGCTCGCTTTAAGTCAATGGGTTTTCAACTTGCTGCAGAAACATGCAGAAAAACATGGATTCCTAATTTAAAGCAGAAAAAAATCTGATTTTCCTCCCTTAAAGGAGAGAAACATGGATTTTCCTCTTTAAAGGAAAAGACCACTTCCCCTTGCAGGCTGACAGCCTTCCAACCTGCAAGAAGCTGCTTGGGGCTGAGGGAAGCTAGGGGAGGTTGACTGGAGGCAGGGGGCACCACAGGTGTCTGCGCGCACACATACATATGGCTGGCATACAGCCAGGCAGGGCGGTGGGAGCAGCTCTCACAGCTGGATGCAGGTAAGTCTATGAGGGGTGGGGGTTGGAAGGCCAGGGCTTGGGGATTGTTCGGGGGGCTGTGGAGGGAGTGTGTGTGGGTGTGGAGGGGACAGATGCCTGCCAGTGCTGGGGCTGTGGCATGGCAGTGAGGGTAGGGGGGAGGTGTCTGCCCTTCCTGCCAGGGAAGGAGGTTGGGGAGCCTTCAGGGGTGGCGGGGAGCTGTGTGGCCAGGCCATTAGCACCAGGGCTAGTGCCTGTGGTTGCAGGGGCAGGGTGGCTAGGAGATGCTGCCTGGGGGTTGCCATGGCCAGGTCACCTGGTGTGGCATGGGAGACCCAGTCCAGGATGGGAGGGTGTCACAGGCCTCCCTTCCTCCTCCCTCCAGCCCAAGCTGAGGTTGGACTTGCTCTGCCTCCACCTATACAAGTCAGAGTCACTGCACTTCGGCTCAAGCAGGATGGGGCAGCTGGGGGGCCCCTCTGGTAGGGCTGGGAGTAGCAGGGGCCTGAGGGTTGGAGGGGCTCCGGCAGGACTAGGGGGGCTTGGGAGTGAGGGGCACTAGTGGGGGCGGGGAACTGTGGGTCAAAAGTGCAGGGCACCAGCGGGCCAAGGGGCTACGGGCCAAAAGTGAGGGGCACCGGCAGGGACAGGGGGCTGAGGGTTGGGAGTGAGGGGCAGCAACAGAGCCTGAGGGGATGGGGGACTGTGGGTTGGGTGTGAGGAGCACCAGCAGGGCCAGGGGGCTGTGTCTTGGGAGTGGGAGGCAATAGCATGGGCAGGCACAGGGCACCAGAAAATCAGGGCTGCTCAGCACTACAAAGCATCAGGCAGGACAGCCTAAGCTGGGCCTGCATTTTGGTGAGAGAAGGTGGCAGGAGGAGCTCTGATTTTCTATGTTAAAAAACCAAAATCAAACACTAAAATATATAGGTATTTAGAATTTGTTTTTATTATAATGACTGATGCACTGGTACGCTTCCAAATTGCTGTAAAATTGTAAATAGATCAAAAAACATTGTGTTAAATTGATACCTATATATATAACGGTGTTTCATTTTAATCGCGGAAAAACACAGATGTGGGGTGGGGTGGTTCAGAGACTGAGATTTTTAAACCGAGAAACCTAGGATCTCTGAGCAAGACTATCAAACATACCTATAATGAAGTCATTTTGTATTTAACACCAAACCATTTGTTTCTTTCAGAATGTACTATGTTACTTTTATTTATGCAAGAATCTGCTGGGTAGAACTGCATTCAGCCTTAGTATGTTGGTTACAATTGTTGTTTATAAACCAAAATTGAAAACATATGCTATACAGATCAACTATGGAAAAAAATGCCTTTTAAATTAATGGGCTTTTCTGATGTCCGTACCAGTCATGATTTCAAAGCTGTATCTCTCTGCCATCTCTAGAGACTTGTCAGCTATTAGACACATGATGTACAACTTCCATGTTGGTAAACAAATGCCTTTTCACAGGACAAAAGCTGCACCCTTCAAGAATCGTCAGAGTCAAAAGGTCAAGTATGTTTTTATCTTTCATACCAAGCTATAAGCAGACATTCTCTTCCCCATCTGTCT